AATCAGTTATTTTTTCCAATCCTCAAAATCACAAATCGGATATTCCTCTTAAAATAAGACTGTAATGTTTGTGGAAACATTTTTTTACTGTGTTCTCACACAGGCACCTAAAATCAGTTTTAAAAAATTGCACCCAAATGAAATATTAATCTCAAAATAGATATGTCCAAATGTACCTCCGCTTTCGTTTCCGGATTTTTCCCAGATACTGCTTCAAAATAAACTTCCTAAGGAAGTTTGGAATGTCATTTCGATAGATTTAATTCATAATAAAATTCACAGATCGTTGGTGGAGTTAACTGATGAGTGATTGGAGAACTGATGGCTGATTTTTCTTATATGTATCCATTTATTCATAACTATGTTTTTACTTATACCTATTATCTTGTAAGCAATTGACAAAAATAAATAAATAAAAAATGAAAAGGGTAATAGTGAAGTTCAAAAGCAATGAAAAAATAAACCTTGTAAGTAGGGAAGGAGATGAGATGTGTTTTTGAGGCAGAACTAAAAAAAGAAGAGATAAGGAACTGGCTTTTCCTCTGAAATTTCTGGTGTTATGTTAAGACTATCATTTGAAATGTGTCATTGCTTTGCTGCAACATTTGTGGCAGGCTACTCCCTATATCAGGGATGTCAAACTTGATTTCATTGAGGGCTGCATCGGGGTTCTGTTTGACCTCTTGGCAGGGGCATGGCCAGCTCAACCTCACTCATTGAGGCTCTGTTTTTGGCCATGACAGCCTCCTGCAGCCCTCTGCCAGTAAAAATGGAGCCCAGGTGGGCCACGAGCTCCATTTTCACTGGCAGAGTGCTGCAGGAGGCCATCGCAGCCAAAACCAGCCTGAGAGGCCTACATGTGGCCCTCCCAAGTTCTGTTTTGGCTGGCAGAGGCACCTTTGCTGTTTCCAGGGTGAGGCCAACAGGCCAGATCTAAGGACCCCGTGGGCCAGATCTGACCATGGGCCTTGAGTTTGACACCTCTGCCCTATATGCTAGAACCAAAAATGGGGCTGCACAAATGCATTCAGGATCAGGGGAAAATATGAAGTGTATTTGTTCATTAAAATGTTTATAACTTCTGTACCTGTTACCAGAAATAAAATCCTAAACTGAGCACATGCCCAAGGAATACTTTTGTTTTTCAGTTTTTGATCTGCTTTTCTTGAGCTGTTTTACATTTAGTTAATCCCAGAATTCAAATGAAATACAAAAATAGCTAAATTAAGTGTTAAAGTTTGCTTATCCATATAATGATATCTATTATTACTAGCAAAAAAAAAATACTAAACCAATTTGTAAAATTTCCAGTATTTCTAATCTGGTAATTCTTTGTTCCCCTTAATACAGTTACATTTTCATAAGATACAGAAACAGGAAATAAATTGCTCAAGACCAGAAAGGGGAAAAACATTCAGTAGGTGGACAAACCAGTATCTATGTTTTTGATTAAGAAAAAAGCAATCCCGTTTGTTTAAAAGGTCAGACCTAATTTTATTTGTTGAAGTAGCGTAACCTGTTACCTTAATTATTTTGAAACAAACTCAAAAACTCAACTGATGATGTAACCAGATGTATTTATCAGTTGGTTGTATTATATATGTTGCTGAATGGTTTTGATTATATTTCTATAGCTTTTAAAACAAATTTTGTTTTGAGTATATGAGAGTATATTACATATGTTTGGAAGTATTTTTTTTAAATACTTGGCACTTGTGATCAAGTAGATTCTTAAAAGAAAAAAATGAATTAAAGAAGTCACAGGTATGCATTGAATATCCTATTAGAGGAGGTTTTCTAAAAAAACAAATCCTAATACAAGTCTGCAGTGTTTAGATTTTTTTTTAAAAATGTACAATATATGTGCTAGAATAAAATATTAAAAGAGTCTAACAAATTCAATTTGTTTTATCATTTGTTCTCCCAAAAAGAATCTACAAAAGCACATCAGTAACGTAAAGGAAATTTATTTACACTAACCACAAACACAAACACATTTTTAAAAAACAGTAACAAAGTGCATCTATGCACTTTGGGTGTATATTTAGGTGAGTGGGATATCTGTAGTGAGTAGCCAGTATAAAAGATTCCTCAATGTTCACCCACTCATTGCCCTTTCTTTTAAATAAAAATAAAACGATTGAAAATTCTTTTTTACCTCTTATTGAAGAGATAGTAAATGTATATGAAACTCATTTTGGATTTCAGCAAAAGATATAAAGACACATGGACTGATTTAGCTTGGTATTACAGAAAAGTTAAATAGCCTTAACTTGTATCCTACTTAAAGAACTTATCTTAATATTAGTTAATTTGAAACTTCCTGCTTTGAATTTTGTATGTGCTGTTACTGTCCATGTACTTCTACACTACAGCTGAGTTCTTGGTGCTTTCCGAACTTGGTTGTTTTCTTACAGGTGCTTCATTATCCGACAAAGTAATATCATTAATGAGTGTGAAGTTTGTTTCCTGTTTATATGTATAATACCTTACTCTGCCAATGTTGGTGAAGGTTTGATTTTCTTCTTTGGTAATTCCTAGATTTGAATTTTTCCTTTGAATCAAGGAATAACCAAATAGAAAACACTGATAGTGTTGCCACCAATGCTGGGAAGACTCCACAGCTACATACCGGTATATTCTCTTCTATTGAGTATTACAGGAGGATAATGTGTATGATGTAAATAATGTTTATATTCATGATAAATTTGAAACAGGATTCTAAAGTCTAGTTCCATATTAGCCTCTTATGTTTTGCTTCCAACTACTTCTGACTATAAAAGAGCTGGGGTGCAGAGTTAAGTGCGTTCCTATAAGCAGTCCAAGTCCTCCAGCCCCTCCTGAATTCTGTTGACCTTTATCTGGTGCAAATTTAGTGTTAAACTTTAATTGACTGGATTCTTTTGTGTATGCTTGAATAATTATTCTGCAATATCAGATGGTCCTGATTCTTTGTACCTGACATATACATAAGGAAAGTATCACCAAAATTATGCATTAGCCTCATAACGTGAAATCACTAAAGCTTGATTAAGCAATTTGTTCCAGGCCAAAGATTACCTATTAGGACAATAGGATAGGAATCCTCTGGTAGTTAGAAAGTTGCAAATCTGTATGTCAGGCCCACTGTGACATCAAGTCCTCCCTTCAAACAGTTTTTCAAACTCATTGGCATTTTTGTTACGCAGGTAATTTTTCCACTCCGAGAGGGGGAGTATTCAGATCTCATGTTTGAATAAAATATTTTTATTTTATTTTATTTCTACAGTGTGGTCCATTTCTAGAATAATGCATAATTCATATTAGTTTGTGAAGTAATTGCATTCTGTTATGGAGAAATAGAAACTCAGCCCCAGCCACTTGTTCTTTTGCTTAACACATGGTTCAAGGAGTTCCTTTTATGTAGCAGCTAATACATAGCTAACGCCGAGTGTCAAAAATGAATACAGAGCAAGTTTGTAAAAATATTACCATTAAAAAAAGAGCAATGCTGGATGAACAATTTGAAGTGATATGAAAAGCCTTGGGAATAAAAATCAGAAATGGAGGACAGAAAGTACAGTAATTGAATTTTAACAACACACTGCAGTAGTTTTATTTATCAAGTCCTTTTCTCTACCATACCTATCATTCTAATAACGGGTAGCAAAACAGAACCATCTTGTTTTCTATAACCTATCTCATATAGTACATCTGGGAAAACTCAAGCAATTTCCAGAATAATTATTTGATCTACAGTATATATACCTACCTATACTTGTTTAATTCTACTATAGTACAGAAAGAGTGTTATATGCAAATTGCTGCTTGTGGGAGGTACTTACTCAGTTCCTTATTTCTATTTTGGGTAAGATGATTTTATGTCCTAACACTGCTACTTGCATACAATTCTGTCAGGTCAAGGATTATTTCCTACAGTAGACACATGGATGATTTGGGAAGCTAAAGGAAAATTTGGGGTTGCAATTTGATATATGGGGTATCATACTTTTGTGCAATAAATGTTATTTTATTAGAACTACTTTTTTAAAATGCAAAATATTATAATTACATGTAGTTCTTGACTAATGACAATTTGATCCCAAAATTTGTTGCTGAGACATTTAAGTGAGTTTTTCCCTATTTTACAAACTTCCTTGGCACAGATGTTAAGTGAATCATTGGAGTTAAGTGAATCTGGCTTCCACACTGACTTTGTCAGGTCACAAAAAGTGATAACACGACCCTGGGACACTGCAGCAGTCATAAATATGAATCAATTGATAAGTGTCTGAATTTTGATCATGTGCACATGGGGATGCTGCAATGGCCATGTGAAAAATAGTTATGTCACTTTTAATAACTTCAAATGGGCACTAAACAAATGGTTGTAAGTCAAGGACTACTATACAGAGATGCAATTCTATGCTTAGTTCTAGACATAGCATTATAAAGGTTAAAGTTCACTTTGAAAACATTCTTTGTACCATTAAGTGTTACAAATGAAGGTGATTACACAATTATCTGATTGTATTTTCTCTTCATAAAAATAATTAGAAAAACATATCCAGCATACATTTAAAAAGAGCCACATGGTTGTGGAGGATTTTATTTCACAATTTTTATACAGTTACAGACCATTAGAATTCTCTCTTCCAACCCTTATACATTTCAGCCTGGGCAAATGTCCCAAGTATCATCAAACCTGGGAGGTCAACAGTGCCAAGTGAAGACAATTTTATTATTCGGCTAGCTGGTCATAATTGCAATTCCTACTGATTGGTTTGACACCTATATTTCAGGTGGGGAAGACTTGGGTTCTTGGCTTGAGACCATCCGCTGCTGTCATTGACTTCCCACTTCCCAGTGGCCATGTGTTGTACTTCATACTACTGCAGATGTCTCCAAACTTGCCAACTTTAAGACTTCAACTCCAATTCTGGAAGAAGTCCACAAGTCTTAAAAGTTGGCAAGTTTGGGGACCCCTTTACTACTGAATCAATTATGTTCTGATTGTTTTACAGACTTTGAGCTAAAAACTAAACCTGCCAGTAGGAAGTTGTCACATACCATTTAAGTGAATACTTGTAAGTTTAAAATGCTAAGTTTTCAAATTGAATTTTCCAGGAAAATTCTTACAGCTGCCTAACACCAACACAAGTATGCAAAGCATATAGCCCTCAACAGAAAGAAACAACAAGCATGTTTATTTCAGCTTGGATTTTGCACTGATTGCAGTGGCAATTTGTTGTGTTATCAGCCTTATCATGAAATTGACTTAAATCCCTTTTTACATCTTTCAAAGGAAAAACCCAATTCATCATTGCTTTTGTAGGAAATAAGAGTTAAAAGACACTAAAGTGAAAAAAAAATCAAAATGGCATCTTACTGTCACAGGGATAGTTGCTTAAAGCTACATACAGTATATATATTCAACCTTATAACAAAAATATTTTTGTGATTTTTAAAATAGTTGGAATGCAAGAGATACTGGATTCTTCTAATTCTTGCCTCAGATATGATTTCCTTCCCTGCTCTAAACTAACAGCAGGCTAAGAGACAAAAGGAAAAAGGGAGCAAAGGTGATGAACAATGGGCTATAACCGTATAGTATCTGTATAGGTGTTCATCAACACATGTAGGAAGGTTGAGACGGGAGAGCAATGTATTCTGTAAAGTATATTATTCAGTAAAAAACAAAAATCAAATATTTCCCAGTTACACATTGCCAGACACTCAACAGATATCTGTCTTTGGCCATAACACTGAAATTTAAATTAGGCTAATACTGATTCCATTGCCACAATATATGGCGTCTGTAAAAGACAATGTGATCTCAAAATAAATGAAATATGTTGCACTCTCCATACACATTATAACTAAATTGAAGATTATCTTAATAACATAAGCAGTAGGTTTATATTTTGACAGTGATGTGAAAGCAGCATTTTGGGCCTTGTACAAACCTAGTTCTGTGCTATTCATTAAATTCATTTTTTTCAGGCTTCCAAAATATGCCGCTGCTTTTTGGATTCCATTCATTAAAGTTAACACAACTCTTTAAGTAGCACCCTGAAAAAACTGGATACTTTAATGAGTATCAAGGATTCTGTGCAAACAAGGACCAAACCCCTTCTTTCAAATCAGTTCTGAAGCATATGTAGCCTTAGTAAGCACCACTTTCAACAGAAAGAATATGGAAGATTTATGTTCAATTCCCAAGACCTGCAAATTATCTTATTATCCACTCTGCCCTTTAATGTTGAGGGTGGATATTTGGAACAAGGTAACCCTCAGAATTATGTATGTATTGTAGTAATACTTGTTATGCAGGTTTGACAGTTTCATCTCTTAAGAGTACCTCCTCATTTTTTTTCCCTTGGGAGAAGATGGAAGAAGTACCAGATGATAGCAGCATTAATAAACCATATATTCCCAAGAGATTACACATTCGCCATGCCATGCTTGTATCTGCAAAGCAAGAGATACAGCTATTGCAGCTCCTCCCTAAATGTTGTATCGTTTCAAAGAATAAGTGGAGATTAAGAAGAGGGTTATATAAGTTATGAATGGAAGACCATATAGGAGAAAATGTACTAATAGTTTCTTGAATACAGTTGGATCAAACTGGTTAAATATATAGTATGCCATCTCCCTTAAATATAAACAGCATAATATATATTTTCCACTTAAAAATATTTTGCTTTCTTCCAGTAGTGTCATTTCTTCTAAATGCCTGTGCCCAAGAGTTTATAGACAAAACCTTCAGGAAGTATACGTTAGTATCCATATGTTCGCCAGCTAGCCAATAATTTGAAGCTCAAGCACTAATGATATGCCATATTCAGAATTGAAGAGGGCAAAGGTGCTTCAAATTCAGAATGGGCATCTCTTGACTATTAATATCAATATAGCAAATGAAGTTATGTCAACCAAAGCATATTTGCCCTCTTCAGTTTTGCATACAATCACCTCTTAACTACTCTTTGTTACGATTGTAAGGCACAACATTTTTAGAAGAAAAATGTTTAAATGTTCAAGAATCTTTTTTTGCTCTGTGCCTTAGTGATATTTCCTAATTTCTCAAACAATTAACACATGGACAAATAATTTCAAAAGCAGTGAATATGAAAATTTCTCGTCTTACATTCTTCTGCATCAGTTAGCAATCTGCTACCAGTTTTTCAAACGAGTGTATTGAGGACTTTGTATGTACACGTGTGCTTGTGCAGTGAAGGACTTCAATCTGACAAAGCAGCAAGTCCTAGGCAATGTGCACTCGGTTTTCAAAATATGGGGTTACCATCACTCTGAGTGTCACATAAATTTAAGCAGCATGCTATTTTTTTAAAAAAATTCTAGACAATATAAATACAGTCAATGTACAGAATTTACAAATATATATCCTGCTATGAATATTTTTCTTGAAGATTTTCTGTCAAGCACTTTGAGAATAAAAAGGGGAAAATGGTCACCAATCAATAGGAACAAACCTTATTATACTTTGGGGGGTTCTTAAAATTGTTAGTGGCAATTCTACACTTTTGAAATAGGAGGTAAGAATTTTCACGGCAGCAAAGTATAAAGTATTACAGGAAACAGAGCATATGTTGGGACTCCCAGCAGCAGGTACATCAACAAGGAACTGAAGGAAGAAGCAACTTTGAAGATCTGCTAAATTTGCTATAATGTTTTATGGCAAATTGAGCAGATCTTCAAAGTTGCTTCTTCCTCCAGTTCCCTGAGTGTAGTGGAACTAGACCAGTAGCACCAAATCTAAAGCCCACCCACTCCTATTTAATATCAATAAAATACAGAGGCAGACTTGCAAAATAACCAGGACAAGATGTGCATAGGTCACTCAGAAGACAAACTGTCATGGCAAGTAAGTTCCAACACTAACTCACACTTAAGGCAGCGGTTATATTTGCAGCAGAAGTTCTGGTTCTGAAAGTGAACAGTACAGAGTATAGCCTAATTCATCTACTTCCTCAGTAGTAAGCTCTGAAAACAAGTTCACCTTGGGATTTAAAGCACTCGGAAGAATTCCTTCTTCCAAATAGCCAATTAGTTTTCTCAATGCCTGAAGAAAACGGTCAGCTATTGCATCTTGTGACCAATCAGTTTCTTCTTGGGTCAGGTGTAATATTACATTGGTAAGCTGGCTGGCAGAAAGACGATGCAGAACTGGGTTCAGTTTACATATGGCCTTGAGGATCTTAAGGCACAAAGAACGGCAACCAGAATCATCTTGGTCCAAGGCCCGCAGGCGAGCTGTCTCTGCTGGCCGAAGGCTGAGTCGCCACAGATTATCATATTGGGCCAGACGGTGTGGCTTGGCTACCAATACAGAATCACCTAGTGTCACAGATGGTAAAAAGTCTATTAGGAGGTGCAGATCCCGTTCATACTGGACCTCCAAAGTCAGAGATTCTAAGGGTGCGACTGGACGGATCACATAATCTAGGAGGGATCCAATTGCTGGCCAATTGATGGAGCCAGACACTACTTTCTCAAAGGTACAACATACAGATTTGGGGGAAAGATAACCTCCCACTACACAGCGGTCCCAATAACTGCTACCACGAGGAAAATACTCTGGGTTTTCCCGACGTACTAGGCAGAAGCCAGGGATGTTCATAATGGTTTCTTCACCTGGAATGCATGACCATAAATTCTGTTCTAGCACAAGAGGAACAATAAGTTGAACGTGATCAGCTGTCACAACCTAGCAGCAAAGAGAAATAAAAGCAAGCATTAAACATCTGAGGACTAGTCCTATCACCTATCAGCTAGCTTACTTGCCTCCCTCCAGATGTTTGCATTTGAATCCTCATAATTGAAGGATATGATCCAACTAACATGGCCACCAAGTTGAGAAAAGCTAGGCCAGAAGGAAGGCTATGAATACTAAGAACGCTTCAGTTGCATTATCAGAGATGTTCAATACAGTATCCTCTTTAGCTATACTGAAGTCATAGAGGTAGCTATAGCAAACTTAAAAGATAAATATTATTTTGAATGACAATAGAAAAGTAGAACACATGGACACCATATGCTAGGTAAAAATAATATGCTATACTACGAATTAAAACAATTTGAAAATATCTTGTTAAACAGATGTAGAAAAGATACAGAATACAAAAATGTGGATACTGGCCCAAAAAGGAATCTTTTTTTTTACACAAGATCAGATTAGACGCACACCAAAATCAAGAGATAACCCTAAGAATATGGTAATGGGATAAGGTATCTCTACCAACATTATTCTTGCTGAAGAACATTTCAAGCTTTTCACCCATTCAATTTACCTGTAAGTCATCACAGAGGCTACCACTCAGATACATCTCACGCAGAGGCATGTCTGGCAATTTGGTACGGAGGAAACTGCGTAATTCAGCACAGATATCCACAGCAGCTTGCTTAGCTTTGATCTGTTCTTCTACAGAGATAGCCACCTTTCTCCGATAATAAGTAAATAGTTTTTCTTGCAAGGACATCCGAAGGCGGGATTTCTTCAATTCCACCTGGCTTCTCTTAGCAGGTGATTTATGCTTCATAGGTTTGACTGAATCTGTTCAGGTAATTCAACAGAGAAAATCTCAAGAAAAACCAAATATTTCACTGCAAATTGCTTGTATAAATTTCCTGCACTGAAATTATTCTGTTCTGAATGTGTATTTTTTAACAAACAAAATAGCCTTAGCGTAAGATTTAAGAGAGAAAGAAAATTCATGGGACAATCCAGAAGTGAACATCTTTTGTTATTAAAAAAATTCAAATGAGACAAACATCAAAGCCATTATAATACATTAAATATAGCATAAAGTCAGTTCAATGTGTATATTCTTTCTTTGGACTATTTCTCACCTATTTCAAAATCTGAAGCATCTGTGGGCAGGGTCTGCAGAGAACGGCTAAAATTTGTCTTCATGTCTTGGTTCAGTAATCGTGATGATGACCCAAGCCAGCTTGGTTCCTCCCAGCTTCTTTTTCCTGACTGGCTTAAATGGGTGGGGCTGGCTGGAGCACTGATTGCTCTGTCATACATCTGCAGAGAGTGAAAGTAGAATATTGACTATATGACCTAATGAGACTTAATTTCTCTATTCCCTACTGCATTTTTTCCAACCTCAATAAATCTTCATATTCCTTTACCAACTATATTATTTCTTTCTTTTAATCTTGTATTTTGTGTTTTAAATGTTATGTCATATAGTATGCCTTATTTTAATTATGATGCTTCTGACACAAATAAACATTTCTTACCCGTTTGACAGCCAAGGTAGCAATCCCCAGCATAGCCGCACCTCCCACTCCCAGTACAAGTCGAGCATTGGACAACACAAAATCAATAGCCGTGCCAATCCCGTTGTCATCCTTCTTTCCTTTGCGCTCTCCAGAGCCTGCCATTGCTCCTACATGGGGGAGGGGGAGAAAACAGCATACTGTTCATAATGTTCAGTTTGCCATTCAGTGCTTAGTTGGTTTTAATTCCATGGACTTTTACTAAATATTAAATATTTGAAGCTAAGTTTATTTTAAATGTATCACCTTAAACATGTTTTGTAATTCCAATTATAATCACAGTACTGGTTAACACGATATAAATCATTAACTAAAACCACAAACTTTAATCAATACTAAAAATATCACTTTCCATACAATTAAAATGCAGATTCTATGTAGAAAAATGTAGAAAAGGCCAAATTGGGGTATGTGATACCAATGCATTTTGTATAAGATTATAGTCCAAAAATGGTCTCCAATTAGAACTGAATTCTATATTTTTACTTTTTAAATATGAAATTATTCTAGACATTAAAGCAATTTCCTCAATTTAGTTAGTCATTCTTCCAAAGAAGGAATCAAAGAAGGAAGCATATAAGATCACTGCAGTCATTAATATATTCAAAGCTCGTTCAATATAACCTGGGACCTTCCAATAACATTCAGCCAAAACCACCACCTTTGGAAAATAGTAGGCTGGGTAAGGTTGACTTGAAGTGAGATTTGTTTAAGACCAAGCACTAAAATTCACATTAGTTAATATTTGACATGTAAATAAGACCCTCTTTTACATTAATAAGCTTAGAGCTATTATGAATAGAATTCCCGAGCAGCAGAGACTATTTTTTTCTTTAAAAAAAGGATTTCATGGTGAAAGGGAACTTCTGAAAAAGAAGTGGCTAAACATAATTGCAAACAATGTCAAGGAGGAAAAAAATGTAGATGGAAAAGTTATACTTGCACAAAAAGGTTTATGAAGATCTGAGAAAAAAAACAATTCATTTAGGAGTTAGAGATGAAATAACAAAAAAATGCATGCAGGTAGACTAGAACTGTAAAATTATGAACTGATATTTCAATGAATGCCCCTTAGGCAAACTAATTTCCAGAATTTAAGGGGAGTCAAAGTAAGAGTTGCCTGTACAAGAATAAAATTTGGATACAAATTTATCCATCCTCTGTAGTGTAAACATTAATTTTGTAATTATTAGCATATATAGTACATTCTTCGTAATGCCAATTTCAAACATGCTAGAATTGTTTTATTACTATAAATAAAAATTAACTTCTAATTACTCAGACTACTACTCAGTATTCTAATTACTCAGGTTAGCTTTTTATCTGTACAAATAATAATTAAAATAGCAAAATATATCCTCTATATATATTTTACCTGAGGCTTAATGCATCTGCAAAAAGGGAGAAATGCTCCCAGGGATATATGTGGGATACTTTGGAGAGGTTTTTTTTTACAGATTTGCAGCAGACTTCTGATATTGACCATCCAGTTCAAAATACTAAATAATTTAAAGAAAATAAAAGGAAAGAAATATATGACAAGAAAAAAAAAGAATTTCCTAAATAAGCCCTCCAAGTTTGCTGTGCAAAAAGGCCTGGCCCTTTTTAAGATGTCGCTCTTTATCTTCTGGGGAAGTAAGATGCTGGTTCTTGCGAAATTCTTTCCGGATCGAGCTGAGATAGAAATCACGATCAGTATAGCGCAAGCCACGTCCCTGCCGCAACAGTGCACGATAAAGGTTTAGCACAGCTTCACGGCTCCACGTTGCCATGGAGGACGAGTTGAAGAACAGTGAACTAAAGACACACAGAGAAAATGAAGTAATTCCTCTTTTTTTTTGAGAATTTATATTTCAGTTACTTCATTAATTCTAAAAGAATCAATAAAAAAAAATCTAGTTGTAAAAAGAAATCCAGTAATTCATAGCACAAATACAGTAATAACTAATTAAAATATGTGGTCATTACAAAATATTACCTTCATGTATATAATACAGACATTAATTTTCTACATGATCAACAGAACAATCTGCAATGCTTTCATTTCAAACCCACAGCGATCTTTCGTTCAACAGTTTATCTTTTATGTCCCAATTCCTTCCTCAGATATCATGCCTCAAGCTTGTGATGTTTTATTTTACTATTCAACATTTTGGAATCTGGGCAGAATCTTTTGTTCAACTGACTTGCTCTCCAAAGGTTATGCGGAGTAATTTAGCAATCATAGAGGAAGGGGCCATCCTCAATTAGAGGAGTATCTAGGCTCGACTTAAACCTCCCACAACGGTAAGGAAATAGAGGTCTCTTTATTAAAATATACGGACGTTTTCCACGAAGTTGGTTATGAACTCCTCACGCAAGACCCCAAACATGAGTAATATGACTAAGCAGCCTGTACTCGGAGATCTGTATCTCCTTCCATAGCAGAAGGAGGGAGGGCAGTCGGGGGGGAAAGAGGGACAGGTGCCTCTAACGAAGCTGAAAGGCCATCCGGAGAATCTAGAAAGAGAGGAAACATTTCCTCTTTCTTCAATACCCTCCTACTACTCCGAGCTGGGTCTCACGCACGGGGAAACCTAGGAAGGGCCGTGGACGGATTTTGGAGGCGCTGGGACTCACCCGTGAGAGGGCGGGAAATCCGTCAAATCGGCGGCGGCAATAAAAGAAACGGACTCGGTTTTCGATGCCTTGGAGGAAATCCGCCGCGGTTCAGAGCTCTCAACCCCGCCTCTTCCTGTAACCGGCACAGATCCCAGGGTCAAACAACAATATGGCCACTTTGCTTCCGGGGTATGGGTCTTTTACCATGGAAATCTTCCTTTCCGGAGGGAGGGAACGGTTCCGCAAAAAGTCTCAGCGGCTACTCCATCAATGTGCGAGAAGTGGAGGCAGTATGTGGGTGGTGCGCAATGGGGGAAGGGGCGGGCGGGGGCGGGGGAGAGGAATGCCTCAGACTTCAGGAGAAATGTCAGTTTCAGATGACCGGGTCAAGGAGGCAAGAACTCGGGGGCGAAGGCTGGCGTTTTTCTGTCTTTGCTGCCGTCTAGCGGTCGTCCGGATAGTTAGAATTTCACTCAACTAAAAAGTACAGCGGCCTGCGTTCCCAGCTGCCCTATCAGGGTTTTCGCCCTTACAAAGTTGTCCTTCCATCGCCTTTTTAGAATTCCCATTTCTGAACACCCCAAACAAGGACATTACTCAAATAATAGCAAGGATTTTCCTCTTTGCTGCCATGGCTTGGGTCGCCAAGAGCTTTCCAAGTCAAATAACTTTCCCAGGTTTACTGTTGATTCATCCGGTTTAATGTTTGTTGTCACAGAGGACAAATAGAGATCTTATAGACTTCAGCTGCAGGGGAATAAAAAACAAGTTGAACATTACGAGGAATTTCTTAGGAACAATTCTATTGATTTATAACTGGAGCCAATTACCTGCTTTAGTAGGCTCCGTATATAAAAATACTGTATATCTGGATTTATTGTATCAGCTAAAAGTGGATTCAATAGCCAGTTCTCAATATTTTGGTCTCCAGTCACCTTTACATTGTTAAAAACATTTGAGGACTTTGGCTCAAATATATGGCTGTCGATATTTTATTTAATAATTCAAAACAGACATTTTGGAACATTATTAGTCTTCACTGATCCCTTGAAAGGGTTTCAGGGTCCCCAGCCTACTGGTACATTTTGAGAACCACTGGTTTATGGGATTCTTTTCTAATTCTGAGGCTTGATTTGAATGAAACTCTTGTCAATTGCATTTTAGCTTTATAAGTTCAACCTCTGTCATTCTTATGGGTCAGAATGTCCTGTAAATTCAAATAGGATTTAAAATTCAGCCTGGGTATCTTTTTCTGTTTAGAACTTTTTACTACTGATTTCAGAAATGTGATGTTGACTGAATTTAACTTAAACTGAGAAACATTGAAATTGGCCAAAGCTTTCTTTTTCTTCATAATTTAAGCAGTATTCAAATATATTCTGAATCCAACTTGTCTGGGAGTAACTCCTTTGAATTCACTGGCTATAGGACTGAATTATCAGCCACATGCCTAATACCTGTAATCTGACATAACTATACCCACACTATGAAGTGTAAATGTTAACAGGAAATTCATTAGGGTGTTCAGTATTAGTAATACATATTCAACTTTCGAGAAAACTACTTAGCATAAAAAGTCAACAAGGAAATCCTATTTCTTTTTATAATAATCATCAATAATAAGTTGCATATTGGTAGAGTATATGCATAGGAATTAGAAGAAATAATGTTTCTAGATCAAAAATTTGTGTTGGAATGAAATTCAAGTTTGCTTTGAGCAACCAACCTTGAGATCATGGAGACAAAACAACATGACAGAAAGTCAGCAGGAGGATTTTTGAGGTACAGGCAAAGCACCTCTTTTGCTGGCCAAGCTTGCTTGAATCAAATCAACAGCGCCACCTTTTGGATGATTTATAGACAGAGAACATAAACATGCAGTGTGGAAGGAGGCATGTACACCTCTTGCTTTTTGGTGCAAAAATATGGAAGATGAATGCTCTTGCGCTGTTTTAGCTGGTCTTAAAGCAGGAATAGTCATTTTCCCATTGAGTGGTATACCAGAAGTCTTACTGAAAGAAATAGTTGGGACTAAAACAAAATTGCATTTTATTTAATTTGTGTAAGTTTACCTAAAAGTATTAAATACGGTTAATATTAACTTTTGTGCATTTGATAATTTACACGCATCACTTTGTAAAGTATTTTGTTGTGATTTTTGGAGGGTCTCCTTAGCTCAGGGGTCCTCAAACTTTTAAACGGGACCAATTCACAGTCCTTCAAATTTTGGGGGGATTGGACCGGCTGGGTGGGAGTGGCTAGGTGGCGATGTGGTTGGGTGGGCATGACTAGGTGAGCATGTGACTGTGTGAGCATGGCCAATTTAGCAGTCCATTAAACAATACACACAAATTAAATTTTAATTTGTTATGCTCCTGGGGCTGGAAAGCAGGTTAATGAAGGGATGTGGCTGTCTTGGTTTGTGTGTGAGGCACTTCTGCTTGTGTGTGTGGTATATGTGTCCCTCTCTCCCGCTTGTTCTCTCTCTCTCTCTCTCTCTCTCTCTCTGGGGAGGGTGAGAAGGAACCCCTGAACTGATGCTGGGTGGTGGGAATTTGAAGTCCAGAGGTTGACGAGTAGCACACCAAAGACCAGCTGGCCTGTGGGAAAATCCCATGGTCTTCCCAAAAGGCTGGCTGGCAGTGAGCAAGCAGGCAGTCCTCCTCCAATCCAGCCCTCTCACGCCTCCAGTAGCAGTCTACTGGCCAAAAATGAGCTAGTTTTTGGCCTCCCAAGGCCTCAGCGCATCCCATTTTTGGCCTCCCCATCCTCCAGTACCATTCTGCTGGCCAAAAACAGGCCTAGTTTTGGCTTCCCAAGGCCTCCATGCATCCTGTTTTTGGCCTCCCCGGCCCCCAGTACCATTCTGCTGGCCAAAAATGGGTCACACAGAGGGAGAGTGTTTGTATGTTAAAAAGATATTTGTGCAGATATAGTTCAGACTTCCTTCCAGCAGCAAGGTTCCTAGGGACCTTGGATTGATGTCCGTTCCACTTAGTTATTCATAAGAAATTCAGTCTAGTTAAATGATTTAAATCTTGATTTTACGTCTGTAAACACACAATTTTTTGTGCTAAAGAAGGATCTGCACCAGCTACATATGGAACTGAATGTTGTTTTTGTTTGGATAATGCAAATCTACAAGATCCAGGCAGCAGTCAAATAGATATTAAGAATCTTCTAGAAAGCCCCTCAAGCATAAGAACTAATTTAGTCTCAGTTGTTTTTTTCCATAGTAATGGATTGTGGTCTTGAACTCCACCGAAATCTTTGTGCTATGATTAAGTGAACCTTTGCTGCCAGCTGTCATTCTATTGTTCATTCTTTTCCTCCTGCCACAGAGACAGTGCCATCTTCCCTCTAGTCCAGTGGTTCCCAAACCTTTTCAGTCCACCATCCCCTTGGTGCTACAAACTCATCCTCAATGCCCCCCACCCATGGGCGGGATTCAAATTTCTGTGAGCATGGCCTAATTTGAGGGTGTGGTTTGCTGGTCATGTGACTGGGTGGGCATGGTTTGGTGATTGGCAAACCAAATACTAGTGGTCCTCACTTAATGTCCGGTTGCTTAGCAAGTATTCTAATTTATGACTGGCCTCCCCAGAACTACTTGACCTGTTTTTGAAGTTTTGACAGCCATGCACACACACACACACACACACACACACACACACACACTCCCTTCCTTCTAACCCTGCTGGAGCAGGCCATTGGACTAGAATCGGCAAAGCATCTCTGATTAGATTCTAGCAGTGAATAGAATCTAATCAGAGATGCTTTGCCAATTCTTGTTGATTTGTTTTATTTGTATTTCTTTATTTTATGTTGCTGAATTGCATTGACGTATGTTCCTTCTTGTGCACAGCCCAGAAGCTTTTGTGATTCTTTGCAGCAAAAATTACCGACCTCTGGCTTTGCTCTATTTTTCAAAGGCGCCGCCGCTGCCGCATTCTAGGTGCCAGTCCCGCAGGTCCACCTCATTGAGCCCGCTGCACTGGACAAACCTGCCCAAGCAAGTCCGAGCAGAGCGGTGCACCAAATCAATGGATGAGCCTGGGAGAGGAAAAGAGAGAGAGAGGAAAGAAAGAGAGAAGGAAGAAAAGAAAGAGAAAAGGGAAAGAAAGAAAAAGGGACAAAGAAAGAGGGGGTGGAGGGATGGGGGGAAGGGAAAGAGAGAGAGAGAGACCTGATGCATCTCACCTTGAAATGAGGCCTAGGGGCCCTTTTCCACATTGAAACATCTTTGCCAACACATTGAAACATCTTTGGCTTCTAGTAAAGGTTTTGTGGGAGAAACATGATAAAGACTATCAGGAAGCTGTCACATTTTGTTGAGGCTTTAAACAGGATCCATTGGACCAGACCTCCACCCAAAAAATTACTTTTTCCCAATGTATTACATTGCCAATTCTGAAGAAGGCAGAACCAAAATGTACTGGTAAATTACAAGGAGAACGCACACACACACACACACTCCCTTCTAACCCTGCTTGGACTAGAATAGATATCTCATATTTCTCCTCCCTCCCTCCCTCCCTCCCTCTTTATTTCTTTTTCTTTCTGTCCCTTCCTTTCACCACCACCACCACCCCTCTTTCTTTGTCTGTCCCATTTTCTTTCTGTCCCTTTTCTCTTTCTCTTCTTCCTTCTCTGTCTCTCTCTTTCTCTTTCCTCTCTCTCCCTCTCTCAGGCTCACCCCATTGACTTGGTGCAACACTCCATTCGGATTTGCTTGGGCAGGTCCCTCCGGTGCAAGGGGCTCAATGGGGTAATCCTGCAGGACCTTGCCCTGAACGCCGTGGCGGCAGGATGTTGGAAAAGGAGAGCAAAGCCACTCTGGTTTGCTCTCCTTTCCCAATGTGTCCGGGGCAAGGCCCGCAGGCTTACCCCATTGAGTCCCTTGCACCAGAGCGTGCAAGTCAATGGAGTGATCCTGCGAGGCCTTGCCTTGAACGCTGCGGTGGCGGCAGTTTTCTCACCCTTGAATTGTGCCCTGCGAGTGGCCCATCTCCAGCGCCCCCCTGCCACCTCTTAGCACCTTCCTGCTGGCCCCCTTGCCTCTTAGTGCCCCCAAGGTATCCCACCCCCCACCCCCCAGGGTGCAGTACCATCCACTTTGGGAACCACTGCT